CCTTGTGGGCGGGACTAAGTTCTGAATAGCACCCAGGCTAGTCAGATGTAGGAGTTTACCCTGAAATTTAAGGGTAGACAGTTGAAGCCCCGGCACCGGCTTTCAGTGTAGTATCCTTGGGCAAGACACTTCATTGCCTACTGATGGTCAGAGGGACTGGTGGCGCCAGTGTACGGCAGCCTCGCTTCTGCCAGTAAGCACCTGGGCAGCTGTGGCTACAATGTAGCCTGCCATCATCAGTGTGTGAATGGGTGAATGACTAAATGTAGTGTAAAGCTCTTTGGTCAAGTCTCCTGACTTGAAAAAGCGCTATATAAGTTCAGACCATTTACCATTTATTAAGGAGTGGCTTTCATCTGGCCATTCTACTGCACTGGCTTGAGCGGTGCATTGCTGCAGAGATTGTTACCATTCTGGAAGGGTTTCTTCTCAAAGAAAAAGGCTGGAGCTCTGACAGAGTGAACGTGGAGCCCTTCACCTCCCTGACCAATGTTCTCCTCAGACGCTCAGTGCAAACAGCTGGCCAGTTCTAGGAAGAGTCCTGATGGTTCCAAACCTTTTCCAATTAAGGAAGAGGTCAATCTCCCCACTGGGACCTTTCAAAGCAGCAGCATTTTTTGTTCTGCATCCTTCCCTAGATTTGTGTCTCAAGGAAGGGTTGATCTAGTTTTTAGAGCAGCATGCTCATGTTCGTAAGATGATGAATGCAAGTCATTGGTTTGATCCCCATATCCTGGCTCCCTTTACCCCATATTGCCCCCCTTGGTGCCAGAAGGTGGTTTCTGCTCCTGTGTCTTGGTTACAGTTCGTAATTTGAAAATAATAAAGATAAAAGGTGGGTTCCAAGGCACAAAAATACCTCAATACTCTTAACCCTTTGCCTCATGGGAAAACTAACAAATAATGATAAAGAATAAATGGGCATGCCAGCAGTGCTGTATGGTAGAGTTATGTTCCCAGACAGTTTTTTTGGTTTAGAACATGAAGCATATCTGCTCTCTACCACATAATCCCTCCAACAGTATTTTCAGACATGGACAAAGTCCTTCAGCAGTGTAATGATCATCAGCAGCATCATATGGCATTAAAGAATAAAAAGAAAATAGAAGGATTGGAAGAAGCCCAGCCTAAATCTGAACTTTCATTTGACTGAAAGGATGTGGCTAGAAATAAACAAGCGATCCACCTTAAAAAGTTTCCAAAGTTAAAGTTAATAAACAATTAAATCCCTTCCAGTTCTGCAGAACAACATGTGATTGATGTGTTGTTTTTTTTCAGGTGGAGCTGAAGCTGTCGTTTCAGACTTCCGGCATCAGTCTGTACACAAAAGACATAGTGACTGAAATGAGGCTATCAACGTAAGTATTTAAAGCAAAAGCCTCTAAATGCTTTTTTGGTGTTTCCTGTTTACAGGGATCTGATCTTTTTATTGGCTATTTTTTAATTCTGTGTTTTGGTGTCCATTCTGTGTTTTGATATGATGGAACTCTTCAGTATTAGTGAGCAGGATGACCTGACGCCGTCGACCCTGGCCATACTGATCGAAAGCAACATCAATCCTTTCTTCACCATGTAAGTGTGGCATCCTTACAGAGAGTGACTTCTGTAAATAGCACCTTGCAAAGCTATCAATGTAGCTTCAACTTTTTTAACGTCTTAACACGTCATAACCACAACATTTAAGGTAATTTGTTTGGATTTTATATTCACAGATAAACTTAAATGGGTAAATAGTTGTGGAAGGAAACCAATATATTGATTTTAAGGCTTTTTTAATTACTAAAATAAATATTAAAGGTAAAAGTGTAGATGATGCAATATTGATTTTATATGACTTTGCATTAAAATCATGCAGCAGGACATACCAGGTGGTTCTGAGTCAATTCAATTCAGTTTATCTACATAATTCACAACATGTCATCTCAAGGCTCTTTACAGTTAACCAGATCAAATCGATTCAAAGTTTTCTATGTAAGGAAAACCAGTTGATTGCATCAACTCATTTTACATGGTAAACTCACTTAATTTAAGACATTTTTCCTCATTTCTAGATCGTTTTTGCTGTGCCAAGAGAGATCCCATGTATTTCATTATTTATTTTAACTAATACATCAAGGATGAATAAGCCAGCTCCATCCTGTCATTAGAGGCAGCCTGTTGGTTTGTTAGCCTACACTGGATGAGCTGCGATGCAACTCTTACCAGCCACTGTTATTTTTCACTAAAGTCCTATCAGCTAGTAGGCGTAGTCTTCTTTAAAGGTGCAGTAGGAGATCTTTTCTGACACATTTTTTACAGTGTGGCTTGAAGATTTCCCCACAGTCGCGTTGCAGGCCGTGAAATAGAAGGTCTGGAAGTGAAACTAAAATAAATGGTCCCCGCTACAGTGTGAAATGAAGGAGTAAGGTCCACCAATCACAAAACACGGTCTGTTGTACACTATTGGTTCCCGACACGTCAATCATGGTCGTCTGCTTGTCCCTCCCCCCTGTGCACGTACCCTGACACATGAAGGAATCGACCCCCCAATGCTCATGCAGGACTTGCAAGCTATCCACTGTTATGCTACATTCACACCTAATGGAGCAGAAGCTGCAAAACATGCATGCTGCTTTATTTTTCATGCTTGTACAAGTTTAGTTCTGATGCGCAGATGAAGCATTTTTGCTGCTCTGGCTGCGCGGTGGAAAAAAGGGGTCCGATGCACATTGGGCGGAGCTACCCTATCCTTACTTTGCCTGTAACAATGGAAGCTATATTTGCTGATCAGTGGGTAAAAAGTAGTTTGAATCTATTTTGAAGTGAGAAAGTCCACCTTAAAACATGGTCAGTGCAGCCAGTTCATCCAGATTATCATCCTGCCTTCCAAGATTATTTCTGTCGAGCCGCTTAGACCCCCGTGCACCGGGGGTGCTCTGTCATTAGGAATCCCATTCAACAGCAGCCTCTGGCCCGGTCTTGGTGGCTGGAAGGCCTTTTTTATGTACGTAATCCAAACTGCAGGCACCAGGATAATAAAAGTGAACATGTTTTGCCCGCAGATTTCTGCATTTTAAGTTAATTTAGGCGTTGATAAACTGTTTCAGAGGAGTGATCATAGCGCTCTGCATCATCAGTGCTGTCTGTCTCCCTGCCAGCTCCCAGATCAACGACCCACTGCTCCTGCTGCTCTAGATGCGCTGGGGAACCTTTTAATGTTCGGTGATGCGCGTCAACCATTGAGTTTGGATATAAACTAGCTGCTTTTGCTTCCTCTGCTGCTTTAGGTGTGAACGTAGCATTATGTTGTTGTTAGCTCGTCTCACAAGCACTCGGTCTTGGCTTGTTTCGTTCTCGATCTCATCTGAACACCTCGACAGACAGCATGCGCGTTCATGTGTTTGAAGGCATGGTTTTGAGAGGTGGTCTGAAGGGAGAGGCATGGTTGTGTATGTTCAAAAATATAGCTTGATGGAACCGTTTTTCCAATATCTCCTACAGCACCTTTAAGTCCTTTCTTCAGGGAAATGTGTTTCATCGTTTATTTTAGCTGATTTGACAAGGATGACAGAGGTTGACGCACTCCCTCCATTTAGAAGAAATAGACTGAATGAATTCCCTAGTAGTTTTTATAGGATTGATAGTGAACCACCAGAGAAAGCTCTTCGGTCATTTGTGATTCATATAGTTTACCACTAGATGGAGGTAGATCCTACACACTGCATTTATCTGAAAAGCCCCTTTGATTCCTTAAAGGTATAGAGGAGGATTTTCATAAATTTTTTAAACGACCTGCCCTCTCCAGTCTAAAAAAAAAAGAAAATGTACAACCCTCTTCCTGCTTTCGAGAGGGAACGCCTATTAAATGCCTGTGAGAGCACGTTCACGCTCTGTTTAGAAGTTGCTGTTAGCATCACTCATACAAGCTTACTTTCCAAAAGAAGATTTGCAATTTTTCCATTATGTCAGACTTACCACCAGTAAGTGAAAATAGGGAAGAGCACGTAGGACAGCCTTACATAAACATGTCACCAGAATGATTGACAGTTTGGAGGACCACTTATTTTGATGATCCACCTGGAAAAAGAACATCCTTCTTCACAGATGTTCGCCCTTTTTTGGCTTCTTTTTAATATTTTTGGCTTGAATGTGAGAAATGTAACGCAGAGAAGAAGACATTTCTGAATTTTATCACAGAGCTACTAGAATCTGTCAACAGCTGAGCTTGTTCTCATGTCGGTACAATAATCATTGTCAACTTTGGCATTGCTAACAGAAGTAAATATTTGCATACCTAGAAGCCAACCATGATGGACATGCGTGTGAATCTATGCTGGAGGTTTCTTCCTGTTAAAAGGGAGTTTTTCCTCTCTACTGTCCCTACAGTATAAGCATGCTTAGTGTGAGGGATTGTCTGTGAGTCAATGAGTCGATTCAATCAGCTTGTTTTCCTTAGATGGAAAACTCAATCTGACTGGATCATCTGGTTGAATTGTAAAATGTCTTGAGATGACGTCTTGTGAATTGGCACAGTATAAATAAACTGAACTGAATTGTATATTTTGGACAATCAACATTTTTTTAAACTATTTATTATATACTTTATTTCTTAACTTAAATAAATCATTATATTCTTCACCACTTTAGATGTTTTGTGGATGAAGTATTTAAAAAAAATTTTTTATTGAAGAACTTGTCCTTCAACACCATAGTATTAACATTTGAATTCCAGTGAAACACATCAGAAGTCACCTTACTAGTGAAATACCCATCCGCCCATGGGTGTAGCTATAACTTCCCTATAATATATTGTGCGGTTTGTGAGAAGGTTCCAGGATGCAAGTATTTCTGGAAGGTTCTGTCAGAACCTCCCAGCAAAGAAACTGTACAAAGACATAACCCTGAGACATTAGTATGTTCTGAGTGTAAAATCCTAACCCTTGTCTTTTTCAGTATGGAACCAAAGCGAACTAGATTTGGTGGGGAAGTGATGGGAGAGTATGCTATGGTCAACACCAGTAACGTGGGTAGTCTGGTGGAGTTCACCTTGCATGTGAGTCATCTCCTCTGCTGTATATTTAATCTATAATATGTGTGCTCCCCCACCCACAGTTTCCTCATCCACACCCTGTCTTTGAAGTAAAAAAAAAAGTTTATATTGTGTGGGCAAGGCAAGTTTAATTGAGCTTTGTCTTGTGGTGTAAGAATGCCCAGGGGTGGATGCTGCAGCGTTTAGCTGCTTTTCTCAGCTGAACTGTATCTAAAGGTCTTTTCTCTAACCTAAAATACTTGTGTCATCAGGTGGACATGAATGACAATCTTCCGGCAGACATGGGGAGTCTTGCTGTTGAGTTTAATTGGCCCTATGAGGTGGCCAATGGCAAGTGGCTGCTGTACCTGACAAAGATTGTTGTTAAAGGAGATTCAGAAATGGAATGCAACCCAGGAGGAGAAGTTATCAACCCGCTTAATCTAACTGTAAGGTTCTGTTCCAGCTTTGGTTTGGATTGTTGTAAAATGTTTTTGAATGTGATTTTACTTATTCTTTTGATATCACTTCCACCTGTTTGACTTTATAAGGTTTGACATGAGTTTTGACTGATCTTCTAACGGCAGGAAGACTAGCCAAAAAATTTTATCAGTAACAAATGGTATCTTAGAATATTTAAAGCAAGGTTTATAGGGTTGTTACTATACTTAGACTTTCCAGAGATTAATAAATGAAAGTTTGGAAGCAGTATTGACATTTCAGAGCACATTTGCTGTATTAATTTGGATAACTGTACAACATACAAAAGCAGCATGGAGTTTAGGATGCTAGGAAGACTTTCTGATCAACCCAGTGTAGATATGTGCCACACCTTGGATCTTTTATTCCAGTTTTCCAGTTTTTCTCATGCATTGAGAGTGCAGTCCACACAAATCTCTTTTGAAATTAGAAAAGTGGTTATGTAACAGAGGAATGACTGTGACCAGTCATTCTAAACACAAGGTCAATATTGAGGAATGTGTCTCTTGACAATGCATTGTTTAGGATTTTTTATTTTTTTATTTTCTTTAGTAAATTCTGTTGGTCTTCATCTGCAGTATTTAGACAGGAAAGGTGAAGATATTCGTATGGGTCATAATGTTGAGAGTCAAACTAAGGAAGGCTGAGTTGATTAGCCTTTACATGGGGTGCCTGTACCAAGGCTACCCATCATCCCCAGCAATATGAACTTTATATCTGTCCTCTGTTTGTGCCAAGGACTTACCTTTGTGCAGTTCACTTACCTAGCCAAAGGGGCATTGAGACCTGCATCCCGGCTGCTGCAGCGCTATCTTATCTAATTTATGGGTTCTTCACACTTATGAAATATGTCAGGAAATACATAACATACCTGTGAATTTCAAACCCTACAAAACACTCAGACAAAAAGCTGGTTGTTCCCAAAGACAACACCAAAATGAAAACTGAGCGCTGCTGTGTTTGCTGTCCAGTAAAGCAAGGACTGTTTTGGTCCTATGTGGAATTCAAGCCAGTTTAGTGTTTAACTTGAAAGAAACAATTCATCCATCTTACACCACTTATCTATCAGGGTCACGGTGGGGTTGGTGCCTTTCAGATGAGCATCCCCAGTCAGACCAGCATACCCGACAGTGGCGTTGGATGTAGGAGTTTGCCCTGAAATCGAAAGGTTGACGGTTCAAGCCCCGACTCCAACTTTCAGTGTTGTTGTGTCCTTGGGCACTCCACCTGCATTATCTACTGATGGTGGTCCGAGGGCCCGGTGGCACCAGTGTATGGCAGTCCTGCTTCTGTCAGTGAGCCCCAGGGCAGCTGTGGCTACATTGTAGCTTGCCCCCATCAGTGTGTGAGTGTGTGGGTGAATGAATGTAGTGTAAAGCGCTTTGGTCAAGTCTCCTGACTTGAATAAAGGTGCTATATAAGTACATGCCATTTACCATTTACCCATAGTCAAAACCTGTTTATCCCTTTAGTTTAGTATGAAAAATTCACTTTAAACTACCTCAACAGGCGTGTTTCCCTTTAGTCATGTACAAAAAAATTAATTACATACTTTTTGGTGTTTTTTTTAAGTGCAAGGCAATCTGACCATTTTTTTTTTTTTGTACATGACTAAAGGGACAAGCACAGGTTGAGGTAGTTTAAAGTGTATTTATCATAAAAAGCTGAAGGGAGAAACGCAAATCTGACATCTTGCTCATGTTGACTATAGGTATGCTGGTCTGACAGAACACTGGCAATCTATGGGCATAAAATTCATGTTATTTTTCTTTAAAAAGAGTACAAAGCTGACACCGAGCCTGGTTCTGCTGGAGGTTTCTTCCTGTTAAAAGGGAGTTTTTCCTCTCTACTGTCGCTACAAGCATGCTCAGTGTGATGGATTGCATTCAAGTCAATGAGTCGATGCAATCAGCTGGTTTTCCTTAGATAGAAAACTTTGAATCAATTTGACTGGATGATCTGATGAACTGTAAAGTGCCTTGGGATGACGTGTTGTGAATTGGCGCTATATAAATAAAATATATTGCATTGAATTGAAGCTTAAATAACATATAAACAGGATACTGGAAGAGTTTGTTTGAGGCTATGCTTCAAATGTTAAATGTGCTTGTTATACATTGAGTCCCAGCACAGTCCTGGCACCCAGTGTAACATTTTGAAAGGAGAAAATTATAGTTGGAGCTGCAGCTTAGATGATGCTCATAATTTTACAAAAGGTTTCATGTGCAGCAATAAATAGCAAAGTTAAGATTTGATGTAGCCTTACTAGACCTGGACATTGTCTATGCTAACTCCACCATGCTTCATTTCTAATTATAACTCCCTGTTAGCATGCTAATATTTGACCATTACCCTGAAACTGGATGTGTAGGAGGTTAGAAAGATGGTATCATACAATAGGAAAAGTTTATTTTGGATTCAAAACGTATATGTGGTGAGGTTGAATTAAGCTAGCTTAGCAATTACAGTTCATTTTGGCCTAAATTAACCTGATTCAACTTGCCCACTCACATACACAATAAAGAGAACTGTAGAAGTCTAAGCAAAGGAATAAATGTTAGTGGTAAATAGTGTTAAAATGGCCTTAGAGGCAAACCGCTGTTCAGAAACACTCTTGAGGAAAAAATCAACAACTATGACACCACATTCTGACCTCAGAAATTCTTAAATAGAAACACACAATGTGTGCAACCTACATATAGACTGTGGAAATGACACTGCTATTCTGAGACGACTTTGGTCATGTCTTTATCTACACCAGTAATTACCAGCAGTTCTCTGATGTAATGTCTCTGCCTTCCTCCTCCCTTTCATCCACCCTTCTCTTTCAAACTGCTCCAGTTGTCAGAAAGCAGATCTAAGCAGGCCAGATCCAAACGGCAGACTGCAGACGATGACACGAGTGAAGCAATTGAGCTGCAACCTGTTGAGTCCCAGGCAGCAATCAAGTTTCTCACACCTCGAAAATCCTACAAGTTGGTAAGTTGTGGAGCATCAGCGGGAGACTTTCTCATCTATCCTCTTTTATCTGACACTTTGAGAATGTGTAAAAAAAAAAAAAAAAAAAAAGTTCAACAAACACAACAAAAGCATCTTTAAAAATAGCTCAAACATGTCGGGGGCAGTTCATGTTTTATTGCCGTATGGGTAGCTTGGCTTTTCGCATCGGTGCCATAAAATGACAAAATAAAACAGAATGCTTCTCAGCAGACATTGACAAAACAGCTGGTGATATTCAAAGCCTTATAATGAACACATCTGGGTTCTTTGAGCTATTTTAGTCTCATTCAGCTGACTGGGTTATGATAAAAATAAAGGGCTCTCTGATATACTCTCCCTTCACCATGTGATATCTCCTAGGAAGACAAGAAACATCAGATCTAAACCACACAGAAGAACTGACGCCTCTGTTAGTGTTAGATCATTTAGTTGAGGATTAGGCCTGTTCAGCAGGTCATAGTGATCTCTTTGTAAGTTGTTTTGCTGGAACAAGTCTCCCTATTAATGAACCAAAACCGTGGGGGAGATAGAACACAGCGTTCCTCTGCAGAGCATGAGAGCACGCCAGCAGTAGATACACACACACTTAGATAGTAAGCAACTCCTTGCTAACAATTAGCACTTATGAGGTGACATATTTGGTTCACTGTGAAGGTAGGATCACACTGAACACGTTTCCAGCGACTACAGGAGATAAGAGCGAGATGTCAACGATCGCTGGAGTTAAAAAGTGTAAATTTTTGTGTTGCATTACAACAACCAATGAGAGATTAGATGTGGCTGTGATGGAGGGTGGAGAATAACAGAGGAGATGTACAAAATATTATTTATAAGAGAGGAAGAAGGGAATGGTCTATATTGTCAGGTTGATTGGAGGTTTTGGAGGAGCCAAATGCAGAGATGAGTCATTGTAGGTTTAATGTCCAAAAGCAGCAACAGAAGAAAAAACGCAAAATAACAAATACAGAAAACGAAAATCTAGGAAACAACGAGGAACCAGTAAAGAGTGACTGAACACGAGGTGTATAAATGGGAGACTGAACAAAGACCAGGCTAATCAGCAGATTGGGAGCAGGTGTGGACAGAGGAGTCTAGAAGGGAGCTAGGGAAAAAGAGTCTGACACAAGAGGGCAGCAGAGGGTAAACAATACCTAAGAACTCAAATACATTAAAAAATAACTAGAATAACACAGAATGAAAATGAAAGCCAATAAACTAGAAACAAACAGAAAGACAAGAATTGAGTATAACTAAAATTTTAAAAAGAAAACCTAAACAGAACCAAAAAGTGCAGAGTCATGACATATTTAGAGTTATTTTTTTCCATTATTGCTACAAAATAGTCTAATTAATAGATAAATAGATGAAAATACACTTTAGAAAGTGGAAATTTGTAAAAAAAAAAAAAAAAAGCCTAACCCCTTCTATTATTCTGTACTTTTAATGTTTCATATTTTAATTCTTTTTCTAGACTTTATATTTTCAAATGTTGTTGTTTTTCTAAATTCGTTTCACAGATCATATTCTCTCCACACTGCTCTTGTATGAATTACAGAATGCCTCATCTTACAAGCAGCTGGTTTGATGATGAGGTGGCGTTTGTCTCTCGCTGTGTGAATTGCTGGCGATGTGTGGCCAATGTGGTGATTTTGTTACTATTTGCATTGGGTTTGAACGCACCATAGGACTGTTCCCCTCCCTTGCAGCCCTGGAATCCTGTGCACTTTGTGTCTAACAGGTTTACCTCAAAGAAAGAAACCAGAAAACGATGGGTTAAAAAAGAAAAAATGGAAATGTCCATGTGTTTTTTGCAAAATAACTTAGAAATGTCGATGATAACACATAAACATATTTTGACATTTTTAATCAGTTGATGACTTACAGTAGAGGTCAGTCATATGAGTGTGTTCCTGATGACAAACGTTTGCTTTTCTCATCGTATAAAACTAATAAAAAAGGACACCTCAAGTTATTTTAAGCGCCTCCCCCAGTGATGTTTAACCCTTATAACAGCAAAACAATCCCCCCCTTTTTTAACTTATGCTCAAGTTCAACTTCCTCAGTACACAGGAAGTGACATCCCTTATGTCTTTCCCAGCTCACACTGTAAAGAGAGGTAAGCATTAGCGTACCAATTAATTCTACATTTTAATGTTTTTACCCAGAAACTAACATCATCCAGCTCAGATTGTCAGCGCTGTTACACGCACACATTACATTATATATATAGTCGTTTAGGGAAAAAAACAAAGGATTGACTTTGAGAAATATATTGATTTTTTGTTCTCCTCGTGCCATATGCTGCTCCATACTCTGGCTAATATCGATTTATCGTTACTTTTAGTTAAATCTTCAACTTCATAACAAAAAACGCTGATATGGGGATGAATCATTGTTGAACTTTAATTTTCTATGAATAATGTTTTATGATCACTGTTATTGGAAGGTTTGTCTTGCAGTGTCTAAAAAACTCCACTTTTTTTTTTCATTTTATATACACTTTGTTTATACAAAATGATAAAAGTTGTGAGTCAAAGTATGAATACAAGCTTCATCTTGACCTACATCACCAACTGCAACACAAAAGTTTCTGTAATCAGAACTCTGAGTGTCCAGGCTGACAATATTCTCTCAAGTACAGGGGGGGAAGAAAAGAACAGAACCTTGTCAGGAAATCACTTAAAGCATGTGGTTATCCAAACTGGCCTTCTGTTAAACAAAGAGACGCAAACTTGTTTTAATTCCATACATGTCAGGGATTTCTGAGAAACAGAAGGATTTTCTCTAAACATAACATACCAGTGAATTTCAAGTCCAACAACATACTGAGACAAAAATTGGTCCACCTTAAAGACAGAACACCCCAACCTACGCTGAGAGGTGTTGTGATGTGATCCAGTGCAGCGATAGAGGAGCCTCGTATACTGGAGAAACCAAACAACAACTACACAAATGCATGGAGCAGCGTAGGAGAGCCAGCAGCTCTGGGCAACATTTAGCTGGACGCTTGGACCTCAAGAACAAAGGACACACCTGTCAAAATGTTAACATGTCGGACAGAGAGCACAGATGGTTTGATAGAGGGGAGAAGGAAGCCATCTTTGTTAAAATAAAGAAGCCATCGCCGAACGAAGGGGCAGGATTGTGGTTTCAGCATCCAATCATCTACAATAAGCAAAGCCCACAATGCCTTTGTGCATGCACAGTTCAACAGAGGTCAAAACGTGCGGCCACCAAGCAAAACACACTGCTATTGAAATCTGTATGCTTGTACGGATAGCAAACGGTGAAAATTAAGGGTTACCGCAAATTCAGCAATTGATTTATAGGTTTCAAGCTTCAAGTGACATGCGCAAGAATGACAGTTGTGCTTTGTCCTATGTTTGAATACTCTTATGGTGACTGAAGACAGATGTTGGAGAAGGGCTCATTATGCTTGACACACAGACATCCTGAGTCTTCATGCCGTTGGAGATTGATAGTCATTTCTTTCCTGCTATTTTTCCACAATGTGTTGATGGTGTTGATATTTATTAACTAAATCCCAGAATGTCTTTAGATGTGTACACTTTCTGCGCAGATTTGTCCGTGTAGTTACAAATTTTCCTAGGTGCGTGGCAGGGCGTGGAAGCCTGAAATAGCGTAATTTGGCCGTGCAGACCTCGCAGACGTGTCAAGATGTAGAGAACCAAAGTTATTCTGTGGCGTTGTCCTTACAATAAACATCATGATTCCTCAGTCTGCTGGTCCAAAGTGGTCTGATGCAAGATTTCAACACACAGAGAAGAACAGTTAAATTTTTTCAACAGTGCAGTATCAACAGTGACTTTAAATGCGGCTAAACCTTGGAGCTACAGGTGTATCAATCCCTGTTGGCTTGTGATAATCGTTAAATGGGTCAGAGTAGGGTGTCAATACTTTTTTCTTGATGTAATAAGCATGGGCTTGTATAGTATCTTTGCAGAGCCACAAACACATGTGCTGTACGCTATTAAATGGCTGAAAAGCTAAAAAATGTTGAAAACAATTTGTATTGATTCAGATGCTATTGTTTGTTTTCTATTATATCTCCATATATTCTTTACAAAAAAAATGTCCATGTTTGTTGTACTTGTGTAAAAGCTTTTTTCCTCACCCTGTCCCTTGAAGGACTGCTCGCAGGAGACGGCCAAATGCGTGAAGTTTACCTGCCCTCTACTCAACGTCTCCAAATCAGCTCAAATTTATGTCCGCTCCCGCTTGTGGAACAGCACCATGTTGGAGGTCTGCTCAGTAGCTTAAGTCACACAAATAGTCTCTAAAAAAAGTCTTTTCTGAAGATGTTTAGATATTTTTGGTGCTTGCGTTTACAGGACTATTCCAATGCTGTGGAAGTTACTGTCCATGGTAGCGCCACACTGAAGCTCATTACAGATAAACCAACCATCAAGATGGAACCCAAATCTCTGCCGGTGTGTATTAGCTACATTACGCTCATGACATTGTTGATTACAGAAGGTATAAAAAAAAACACAAAAACAAAATGTTGCTTATTTGTCTTTCCTTGTAGTTTAAAGTGATTATAGAACCAGAGGAGAGCGTGGAGGTACCCTATGAACTTCCTCTGTGGATCATCATTTCTGCAGCTGTAGCAGGAATCGTGCTTCTTGGCATCATCATTCTAATTCTGTGGAAGGTAAGACTACGCTGGTTATACTCCAGTAGAATTACATGCTGCCTTTTTGCAAACAGAGCCTATAGGAATTAATAGGACTGATGTCTAATTCTCATGTTAAACCATAATTCTAACCATAACATCTTCATTCGCCTTCCTATAACTGCGACTACGCCCCCACCCCCTCCCCAATAGTGTGGCTTCTTCCAGAGGGCTAGCAGGAGGGAGATGTATGAGGCCAAGGCCCAGAAGGCTGAGATGAAGATCCAGCCCTCTGAGACAGAAAAGATGATTGAGGACTACTAAGGCCCCCATGTGTTTTCCCCACAGCACACACCAATGGGGCCTCTGGGTAAAGACACCCCTGAAAACTCACCTTTCTTTGTAACATAAGCATGGGTCTTTTCCATAGTTTGGTATGCAACAACCACAAACTGCAATGTATTATTTTGTAATTTTATAATACAGTATATACCAACTAGGGAATCTACACAAACAAAATTGACTTGTGATTAATTGATTCTTATTGACAGGAAGGAATTTCTTTCACGGTTGTAGTATTAATGTCATGAACCGAGGACAGATGGACCCAGTATTCAAGGAGAGACAGTCAGTAGGAACGTTCAAAACATTTATTAAATAAACCAACAAAACAAAAGCGGAGCTGTGGCTTGCGGACACTGCAGGATGGGGAGCGGGGCACCGCTCAATCACAGACACTCTGGTTTAACAGTCTAGTCCTAGAATGTCCCCAAGTGCTGCAGTTCCAGAGGACATGCTGGAACCGATCCTGGTCAGGGATCCAGAACAGACAGAACAGGAACAGGTGGCAGGATCCAGACTTCCAGGCATCCACAGGCTCCCAGGAGGGTTCAGAGTCTGACTGGGACCAGAAGCATGACCAGGTGGTCACACACAGGAGCAGACAGGATCAGGTGCAGACGGGCAGGCTCAGTGGAAGAGGGTAGCCGAGACAGGAGGTGGAACCGCAACTTGAAGCAGACTTTAAACTGGTCTCCTTCCTGGAGCCAGGTTTACTGGATAAAAACTGAACCTCCCCACATAATGAGCCAAAACCAGAGGACTCTTCGGGGGAGGAACAGTAAACGATCAGGAGATGAGACAAACACTAAAACCCTCTTTCCACTGGCAGCTAGGATCCAGGACATGAACCATGAACTAAAACTGAAACGACAGACTGACAGAAGGACAAGAAATTATCTGGCACTGAATGCTCAGGCTGAACTGAATTTAAACCAGAGGAAATAGGTGAGAGGAATAAACTGTAAATGAGGCAGGGAGGGAAAAAGCCAGGTGAGAGGAATGAATAGTTAGGGAGGAGCAAACATAGCCTGGGTGCCAGTCCGAACTTAGTCCCGCCCACAAGGTTTGAGTTCGGGGAAGTTCGGTCTGGCTCTGCTCCATAGTAGCGCGAGTATTA